CCAATGTTGTAAAAATTTAAATTTCGAATGCTCATAAAAATTTAATTTGAATTTCCAGTGGACTTTTTATTTRWGATAAAGATTTAAAAACTCGTAAGGAATCTTGTATTAAATTTTCAAATATTATTTGTTATTTATATATATATGACCTATTAATATTAATATATCGATATTTTGATACCTATAAAAAAGTTTAYATCGATATATCGAAATCGAACCATTGTCGTTTTTGCGCAACCCTAGGTACAACATTCCACGGACGGCGGTGGCTTTTTTGATTTGATATGCGTGGACGTTCCTGTCAAGGGTCACACCAAGGTAATTGGATGACGGGAACCAGGGGATTTGGAGTCCGTTTATTTTCAAGGAATGAGACGAGAACCTGGCTGGGCCATTGAACATCACTGCCACTGTCTTTTGGGCGTTAATGGTTAGACGCATTTGTTGAACCACATTATAAAGCTTGATCCAGTTGTTTTTGGAGTTGTATGGCGGCTATTTTAGGGTTTTTGTTCGTGGTGGAGAATAAAGAATAAAGTGTCGTYTAAGAAGAGGTAGAGTACTGGAGTCGGGCGTTACGATATTGAGGGACGTCGTTTCTCACTGTCATTGGGCTTGCCTTGTTGGCCGGCCACGCACCCACGATCAATTTCCACACTTTTGCGTTACCCGAAAAACAATCTCTCAAGATCGTAATCAAAGGTGTTCCACTTGACGTTACTGACGAAGAAGAAGAAATTATGGAAGAACTCCAGGACCTAGAGATGGGGGACCAAACCAAACTTTGTCAGAGCTTTTACCAAAAATGATAAGARACTTCCGATCCACTGTTTCCTTAAAAGTAAAACGTACAGAAAATGTCAAAGAAATTTATGAAAAAACTGAACTATTTACGTTCGAATCAAAGCAGATTCATATAAGTCAACAGGTCCAGCGCATTGTTTTTCTCAAAGGAACTCGGTGCTTCTGCACACAGTCGGGTTCATTCCTATCCAAAAAACCATTAAAAAAAATGCCTCAGCCACTTTTCATAGAATCGCTAATTCATGGTACAACCATATAAGAACCATTGGCAGGTGTTCCCCCTCTTTATATACCTCGACACATAAACAGCGTCCGAGAATAAGGCTTTGGGCAACAAGTTAAAGTAAAATTTAAAATTTAAAATTTAAAAAAAATCCATCTCCAACTTCAGCTACTAGCAAAGGCAAAAAAGCCTGGAATAGTACATAGGCGAAAGCCGTGCTGCCAAGTATGTAAGTATGTAAGCATTGTTTTTTTTCTTGTGAACGATTTGGCCATTCATCTTGGACGGCCCAAGGCCTATAAAGAGCTCCAGGATTTCCCTTTTTTTTCTGATTTGATCTTAATCCTCACCGTCATGGACGGTCTGTCATTTCAGCGCTGTTTACTGGATCAAAGTTTGACCATTCAATTTACGATCACTGTGAATATATACGACACGCCGTACCGACTAGTAAATTATTGTAATTCGTGTCGTCCTCAGCGTCGCGGTTATACAAACATTTTTCACAATTTATCGGCAGAAAATGGTTGTACGAATCTGGTTTTGGATTTTTTGGAAAGCCAAATAAATTCTGAACGATCAACATTGATTACTGTGGCGTTACCCGGTACCATGAAACAACCACAGGTCGTTATTCCCGTACTTTTCATC